ATTCTCCGTTGGATTTCAAGGCTTACATTACATATTATTGGTGTTCATACCGGGCCCAAATAAACGAAGTAGTCTACTTTTTCAAACTTGTAGCTGTCAACAGTGACGTAGGTGTCAAGACGCGTATGCTCTGACTGTTTGTGTGAAGACAGGAGGTACTTCGTTTTGTCCTCGTTCACCACCAGCCCCATTCGCTTTGCTTCTCTATCTAATCCCGAGAAGGCAGAACTGACGTAGCTTTTGTTTTTACCGATAATGTCGATGTCGTCAATTGCAATTGTACGCTCCTGTAAAGTATTGAGCCAGAGCGATTCAGTTCTGCGGCTCTTATTATCTTCTCCAATATTATATTAAAGAAATCACGAAAGGCAGTCAGCCACCTTGTCTGAAACCTCGTTAAGTAGCAAACGGCACGGAGAGGTCCTTCCCAATTCTGACGGAGCTGGTTGTATTGCTCAACGTCATTTTACACAGCCGTATTATTTTCGCGGTCATACCAAATTCAGACATCGCGGCATAAATTTAAACTTCCTTTCGTGCTGTCAAATGGAGCTATGAAATCGACAATTAGGTGGTGTGTGTCGATCCTATTCTCGCGGGTCTTTTCCAAGATTTGGCGTATTGTGAATACCTGGTCAATGGTGGATTTTTTAGGTCTAAAGCCACACTGATAAGGCCCAATCAGTACGTTGACGGTGGGCCTCAATCTTTCACACCATACATTCGATAAGACCTTGTAACCTATGCTTAGAAGGCTGATCCTGCGGTAGTTGGCGAGTATGGCGGGATCGCCTTTTTTGTGGATTGGGCAGAACACACTTAAATTCCAGTCGTCGGGCATGCGTTCATCTGACCACATCGAGTTGATGCATGCACCTTATCAGCTCTTCGCCGCCGTACTTGAATAGCTCGGTTGGCAGGCCGTCAGCTCCAGCCGCTTTGTTATTTTTCAGCCGCGTAATCGCTACTCGCACCTCGTCATAGCCAGGCGGTGGGACATTGACTCCATCGTCATCGACTGGGCTCGGTTTCATGTTCTCCGGTACTTTCAGCGCGTCTACCATTCAGTAGGGTAGAAAAGTGTTTCTTTATTTGTTTAATTATCTACCGGACACTGTCCTCACAGATAATCAGGACAAAAATAACACGTTATACAAAAATTAGTCTTAAAATTTATATGTATATACAGGATAACAACATATGAGAAAATTATTTGATAGTAAAATAATCATTAATATCAATTTTAAAACGTTCTCTATATGAGTAATTTAAGTACATTCTGGACATCGGTCACTAGGTCGCCATTGTTTTTTTTACAGGAATTCGCCCTGGTCTTGAAACCTTCCGTAAAACGCCTAACCCTCTGGTAAAATTTTCGAGCATTTTTTCCTGTCGACCAGCATCTCAAGCTGTTCGCACTCACGCATTTCGGCTTCTTTCTTCTTATTGCGGCAAATACGTCTCGCTTCCTTCTTCAGTTCCGTTCAGATCGCAGCGTGGCCCTGTAGGCGGCATCTTTTTTCTCTGCAGCTTCCTGACACTCCTCATCGTACCAGTTGTTCTTTCGGGCTCGCTGAAATCCGACTACTTCTTCGGCGGCGGTATTTAATGAGCGGGAAATGTAGTTGCACTGCTGTTGTTGTTGTTGTTGTAGCAGCATACAAATTCCCCAAAGACTTTTTAGGGAGTGTTGCTGGAGTGTCAGTCCTTGGCCAGATATAAATCTGAACCACCGCCGAAAGAAATTCGACCCTGTCGTCGTGTTTCGTCGGATTGGACAGTGACCTCACTGTTGACCAAAGCTTACTCACACCAGAGGTGAAGGTGCAAGTCGTCAGATGCTCTTCCCACTTTTTCCGCTTATGTACGTTCACAAGCTACCGAATTTCCGCTTTGAGATCCCTGAGACGGGGATTTCCGGGATCGGCCTGACGAAGGTTGTCACGCTCATCGGCTAGAATAGCCGCTTCAGCAGGGAACTTTGGACGGAGGTCCATAATGCATCCTGCCGGTACGAAGCGAGCTGCAGCAGCAGTGACAACCCTGCGGAACTTACGTTCACCAAGGTGGACGTCGGTTGGTGTGGGGAGTGCAGCGAAGGTGTTCTCAGTAAATTCCGCGGATGCGAAGTTGGTTTATCGATCGAGATGACTATGGGCAGATGGTCTGATGCCAAAGTCAGCATAGGTCGCCATGATACGCTGTTTATCAGACCAGCGCTGACTATTGTTATGCCTGGCGAGTTGCAGCAGCTGCCCATAATCCTAGTGGGTGCGTCGTCGTTCATTGTGCAGAATGTCGAATCTGCTCAGTCAAATCTGTTCCCTTACGATTGTTTTACAGGCTTGAATGCCAAAGATCGTGGTGCGCATTAAAGTCACCTGCTACCATACGGTTTTCACCTCTGAGGGGGGCGGCTATATCAGGGTGATATCCTGCCGGGCAGCAAGTCACAGGGGGTGCACGTTAAATATTTCCAGCTCAACATCGCCTGACGGAATAACAATGCCCTGACATTCTAGGGTGGTATCCGTGCGGTCGACCCCTGCTTCAATAAGACGATACTGCACGGTGTGGTGCGTGATGAACGCTAAGCCACCACCATTACCTCGCGGGCAAAATTCAACAATGTTGAATTGCTGTGCAGCTTCGTCTCTTGGACCGCAGCTATCAATATATCATGCTTTGCCATGAAGACGGTTATCTCCCCGATCTTGCTCTGAAGTCCGTTACAGCTAAATTGTAGGAGCTTCATGTGGTTCGGAAGACTTGTTGTTATGCGGGGTGTGAGGGATGTGTGTGGCTTTGCGCCATTGGCTGTGTGCGCTGTTGTGGAGGTTTTCCGCCCTGTGGTGGTCGCAAGCATAGCACTTGACTGAGGTGGAGTTGTGGTGTGGTGTAGTCGTTTCTGGCATACACAGCAGGTGTAAGTTTATGGCCCTGGGTTTGACTCGATGCCAGCCCTGAGTAGAAGAATACGTAGCAAATGCAGCACTATGCTACTATGCTATGCCCTTGGTCGGGTAAAACCCGAGTCATTCCGGTACGTAGAACCAGCTGTC